ACAACAAGAAAAATTTATATTCATTTTCAGAGCAGCTAAAAATTACATTTAACACTTACAGTATTATTAAATTGTTAGTGTTTTTAAAGATTAACTTCAAGTAAGCGTTAGATGCTGTTAAAGGTAATCGAAATGAAAAAATAGGGGAAATTAGACATGCACAATTCAATATATAATATTAACAGATTTACACTACAGTACAAAATTTGGGGTCAGTATTTTTCTATCTAAAGGAATAAGTACATTTATTTAGTAGAGACTTTCAAATCGTTAAAAAAATTATACTATTTCAAATCAATTCTTTTCTACTGGACTTTCTATTCATCAGAGAATCTGTGGGAAAATGTATCACAGCACCAAATTAGTATATTACAATTATTTTATACGAATTATAATTCTATATATAAGGATCATGTGACACTGAAGACTGGAGTAATGCCAGCTTTGCCGTCATATGAATAAATTACATTTTAAAATAGTTTTGAAATACATGAAAAAATTAAAATTTTAAATGTCAAAATAATGTAAATAATATAGATCACATTATTACTGTGTTTACTGTATTGCTGATCAAATAAATGCAACCTTAGTTAGCATAAGGCACTTCTTTTGAGAAAGTAAAAAAAAAATTAATCCCAAACTTTTGAACGGTGGTGTATTTATGCACAATACGGATCAATATGATAAATAAACTATTTCTAATAATGGCAGATAACCAATATAGTACCAATATAATTGCACATCCCTACAGTAAGGAAAGGTGTGAGAGAAAAGTGAACAAAAGAAGGAAGAGGAATTGAAACATACTAGAGAAAAAAGGGTCTGATCACTCGACAAGCACAGAACAGAAAAAGAAAAAAGGAAAAGACAAAGGGAGAAAAGGAAGAGGAGGCAGAAAGCAGTACCTCTTCCTGGCGATTGCTGGTGTGCCCCAAGGAGAGGGCAGCGAGGTCTCATGAGTCAAGCAGGGGGGCACCTGCTCGGCACGACTACAACGATTCAACCACAAACGGACACACAGAGTCACGACCAAACAATCAACATGAAGACAGACCAGACATTCACACAGCCATACAAACACAAGCAGCAGGTCCATACCACACACACCCCGCGTGTGCAGCCAGGCAATGCCAGAGGTTACGAGAGACAAAGAAATGAGAAAGAGCAAGAGAGGGAGGCAGTTAGTTCCTGTTGAATATAAAGCTCAGGGCACAGCACATAGAACTCAGAGGATCTACAGATCATGCAAATCTAACACAAACACAAGCCCAAAGCACGGCTACACTCAGATGGCATGTGAAGGCATTTGCATCTTCTGAATCATGACTAATGAGAATGACACATCTAAACTACACTCTCAGCAGATCAGGGATGAGCATGAAGAGTCAACTGGTCGAGTATTCATTCTGCACCTCAAACTACACAAACCGATTTTCCTTTTTGACTGCCTGAGAAAACAATGAGAGTACTTTCCCCACTGAATTCCTAATTGTTACAAATGAATATTTAGGGTGGCATTCTAGATATGCGTTTACGAAAGGAAATATTGTGTACTTTCAAGTGCATCTAAGTAGCAATCTTTAAAACTTGTATATTTGGTTCTTGTAAGAATCATGAATCCCACCAGATTGGTGGAACAAAATACAAAAATAAACTACCATTGCAGAGTGCATTTTCTATTAGGCTTAAGTGGCAATTTTTATATTTTTTTATTTGAATAAAAACACAAAATAGACATTTTTACATGTTAATTTCCTAATGGCGGTAGTCTAAATTTAAAATTGGTTTCTATGTAAGCCCTGGGTGAGCTCAAATGTGCTTTTAATTTTTAATTACATCGCTTATTCTTAATTTTTTTTTTAGCTTGTTCAATTTAATTTTCAAAAGTAGTTGTGCATGGTTTTAATTAAACCATTGTGCTCATTAATTTTTTTTAAGACATAGCATAGTTTGTTAAAGTTTTTTATGAAACTGTCATTAGTGATATGTCTGTGAATTAATCAAAATATAAAATTTATAGACATGTCAGACATTAATTTTTATTTACTTTTTTTTTTATGTGCAAAGAGTACTCGATTATAAAAGTTACTCAAA